ACAACGATAATGGTCTGCGTGGCCGCCGGCCCCCGTACAACGACAGAGGTGTGCGTGGTGGGGTGGTTTTTTTTTTTTTTTGTGTGGGAATGGTGATCCTTTTTGGTTGAAGTTTGTGTTTTAAATGATGGCGTGGATGTCCTTTTTGGCAATTGCGTGGCGATGGTTGTCCTTATGTGGTGTATCGTGTGTGCGTTTGGGTGTGTTGTCGACTGCAAGGGTTCTCCAATAACTCTTGATGTGGTGCAAATCTATGGCATCTTTTTGTGCTGCAGTGCGACAGTGGCTGTTGGATTTCTTTTTGTTTTTATAAATGCCTGGATCTTACTTCTTTGTGCTCGGTGAAATTGGCTTTTTTACCCGCATAGTTGGGGTTGCAAACAATCGGTTTTACAGAAACGGTTTGTCAGGACACGTGAAACATATCTACAGGAACGCTGTTCACTTACGAAGGCGTTAGCTACTATAAATTGATACGGGTTTTTAACCAAAGCCTCTAGCATGGATAACAGCAAGCAGTAGGAAGAATGTTATTTTATAAGTGATGTTTATGCTAGGGTGCGTGTGTTGGTTTCGGCGGTTGCACATATAGCTGTGCTTCAGTTTTCTTGTTCTGATATCTTGGTGTGTGGATAGTAGCTTCGTGGGTTGGTCAGTAATGTTTTGATCCGGAGATTGGTCACTTACGCATATAGAGTGACAGTGGTTTTCCTGATGAAGTGGGAAAATCACTAACAAGTATTTGAGCCATGCAGAAAGGAACGCACCGCTTTCGTCTAAGAAACCATATAGGCCGAAATTAGAATGATTGAAACCAGTGAATCTAGCGAAGAGGAAGATAGCCCGTTTGCTAGCGGATATTGTGTGGGAGTGCACCCTTTCATTGAAATGTACGACGGGCCTATGAGTGATTGTGACGCTGGTGTTTTCTCCGTGACTGTAAAGGCTTTTGATTGATTGTCGCACGGGGAGGTGGTGAAAGGTGGGGATTCTGTTTACAGGGGAAATAGTGATGGTTTGTAGCAAGCTCGCTTGCGAAGTGATGAAACCAAAAGGTTTTTGCGTTATTGATAGATGAAGAATTGTCTGAGAAGTACAGAGGTGTGGGTGGTGGAGGCGTGTTATTTCCTCTTGGAAAGGAACCTATGTCTACTGTGGCGCCTGCGGTGACAAACACTGAGAACTGCATTGAAGCATAATCCGCATGTTTTGAAGGCAACGCGTGAAACATAAGTGGGCCGGAGTAGTACACAGGTTTTGCTGGAGGCAGCGAGTTTACTGATGCGATTTTTGCAGGTGATTTTGAGGTATTGTTTTTGTTGTGAAAGAAGTTCTTCCCCTTTTTGTTCTCATATCGCTTGTGGGGTGCCGCTCCGTGCTCTCGAGAGGCGCGTGGAGGGACGGAGGGCACCTCTTTGCTACAGCTGTAGGGTGGTTTCGTGTTACGTCAGCGATCTTGCGTGTGCTGGCTATGTGATCCATTTTTGTTTTCCCCACCACCCTCCCTCTATTTTCCTCAGTTTGCTTTCGTTTTCCAGAACTATCTTTTAACATTATCGTTCAGAGTGCACTTTGTGATGGAATTGTGTGCTGGGAGCATGCGGGTGTCCCGGCGTATTCCAAGCGGGGGGCTGCTGGTTCTGCAGGGGGTTGTCATATGCGCATCCGATTTCCTATTTGTTTTTGACCACACTATGTGTGTGCGTGTGCGTGTCGGTGTTTTTCCCTATTTTATCTCTCTCTCTCTCTCTCTCTGTCTTTCTATCTGTCTCTCTCTTTTTCTTTTTCCCTGCTTCTCTCTCTGCCACTCAACACCTCTGCCACAGTAAGGCTCTCTGCGATTGCCCCCAGGAAAAGATATATCCCATGGTCTGGTGCCGTGTGGCTGTGCTGGTCCTCGCCGTGTTGGGCACCCTCTTCGGTGTGCTCACAAACACCCTCCCTGTGTTCCGTGGGGAGAGGACAATGGGAACTGAGTTCACCACCTTGTGGTATGGCAGACTCAAAGTCGACCACAGTATAATACGTGTATCCACCGAAGGATGCAAAACCTTTGTGCGGTACTTCTTCGCCTCCGAGGCCTTTGCTGTAATTGCAACGCTCGGTGGCGTGGCCATCGTTGTTCTCGCAATCATGCAGATACTCGTCAGTCAGCGCAGGGGATTTGTTGTATACAGCGTGTCCATCTTGAGCTTCATTGCATTCCTTGCGTGCGTGATCTGTGTGGGTCTTCTTGCCCACGTGTATGTTGCGGATCTTTGCCAGGATGAGTCCCACCCCTTGCGCGACCACTACACATCCCTGAAGAGTCAGGGGCTGCGGTACGCGGAGGCATTCGGCTTCATTTGCGCCGCCTGTGGAGTGTTTATGGTTGGCGCTGTTGTGCAGTGCTTCGGGGTGAGCGTGGCGAATAGCATTTCTTCGGATGACAAGGGCGGTTTGTATGCTGACACCCGGGTGTGATATTGCCTCCATGCACGCACGCACGCAAGCGATCGTAGCCAGGGGTTTGCGCACGCGAGGACAAGACTGTTGTGGCAGTCGCACTGCACGTCCAACTCTCATGCATTCATCTTTTTCTTTCATCCCCACACTGTTCCACTTCAAGTTGTGCGTATTCCAGGGTAAATCCCTTTTATTAGTTGTGTGGAGGTGGCGCTGGCTGTTGATTTCTTTCCAGTGCCTTTGTGCAGATGACTTTTCTGAAACTATGATTAGAGTGAGACTCGGGTGCCAAGTCTTTCCTCCTCCTCCACCTCTTCCCTCTTTCCCCTTCAGAGAAGGAAAGAAGCAAGTGGCTCACTGACGCTAATCCCCGCCGCTGCACCTTTGTTAGAGCAGTGTGACAGCTTATGTTGAAACAACTATGGTGTGTGTGTGTTGACTATGTGATTTTTTTTTTCGCCCCCTTCCTTGCCCCTTTTCTATCTTTTTTCTTTCGTTTTTTCCTGCCCTTTCCAAATGCCCCACGCATGGGTCAGACGGTGGAAGGAGGGGATTTTTTTGGTCTTGGTGGCCGCCTCTGTGACGGCCTCGTAGAGCAACTCCCTGTCGTAGCGTCCCCTCGTATGACAATGCAACTGCTTCGCTTATATCTGCATGCGTACACTGTCGTCATGCCGTGTCCTTGAGAAACGACAAGCGTGGCAGCGTGCGATGAAGGAAGGGGCTGGGGCTGTGTGTATGTCTTGTTTTAGTGCATCCCTTCGCTCTCTTCCCTTGTCTTGTGAATACTGAGGGTAGAGATGACACTGAGGACGCTACTTGTGGTGCTTGTCTGCGTCGCTGTCGCCAACGGCGTCTGAACAGCGAGTGGACACCCTGGCTACGGTCGCAGGCTCGTAGCCACACAGCCAAACTGGATGTCCCGCATTGACGACAACAAACGTATCTTCCTGGATCTAACCATACCTGGAACGCATGAGAGCGGCACATATCCTTACGAGGGTTACTTCTTTCACCAGTGCCAGAGTAACGACGTTCTGGCAGAGGTGAGGGCTGGTGTGCGGTTTCTTGACATTCGCCTGACTTTCTGGAATCGACATCTTTACGTCGTGCATGGCAATCCGATATTCTGGCCGGAGGGCTCGGTAGAGTTCGAAGATATCATGAGACAAGTTGAATCATTCTTGTAAGACAACAACAAGGAGGTGACCATCATGCGTGTGAAGGATGAAAACCCCGACTACCGGGATACTCCCGGACACACGTGGGAGCAGGACAGGTTCGACGCGATAATGGATCGCTTCGACGGGATCCGTGATTATGCCTGCAAGAATGACACCTGCACGATGGGCCCCTCACGCGGAAAAGTGATCTTCCTTGGCGACGGGTCAACCAATTGAACCCACACGGAACAGTCCCCCCAGCCCCGGACGATTCGCAGCCCGAGGTCCTTCCCACAGTGCAGCCAACGTTCCTCCCTCCGCCAACATTGCCGCCACGTCCCACCACTACGAAGTCTCCCGAAACCTCTGGGCCACGGCCGACGCTTCCCCCCTTGTTTAATTCACGCCCCGCTGAGTCCGTTTCTTTATTGGCTGATACGCCACAACGGGATGCAGCCTTTCTGAAGTGCGGCAAAATTCTCATCAAACAACAGGATAACTATGACCTTCATAATCGTGGCGAATTGTACGACAAGTGGGGGTGGGCACGGGATCTGGTGATTGACGTCTCGGTAAATGGTCGTGCATCTGGCACCATTAACTATTTCTCAGAGTCGTGTGGTTCTTCACTTATAACACCGGCTTTCATTGCCTCTGGGGACAGTATATTTCTGGGACCGACCGAAATGCCGAAGCGGCTCGCTGGATGCGCAGGATCGCTGTGGAAGGTTCAGCCCGACTTCCCGACGCGGGGACTGCGTCGGCTGCGGCGTGGTCACGGAGTGCCGTATTATGGAGCGTGGCACCAACAACATGCTGTATGACTGCCTGGTGAGGGTGGGGGGGGGGCTTGGAAAACTGCAGAGCAGCGAGGTGGACTACGCATGGCCGCGGAACTTGGGTGTCCTCATGCTGGATTTTCCTGACAATGCGGTGCTGAATGGGATCATTGCGGGCTCCAAATCTCCCTTTAATGGGTGCAATACACGCATCGACGGCACATGCTTCTGGATTTCATGTCCTTCATGCATCGCCGGGGATGTGGACGTGACGACTGGAAGCCGCGGCGCCGTTGCTGTTCGTGACGTGGAGGTGGTAGATCGCATCCCTGGCACCCAGGACGGGGAGTGGTGCCAAGTGGTGGCCGCCGAGCGCATGGCTGACAACGGCACCGCGTTCGGCAACTTTACCGACGACCACTTTGTTGTTGAGCCGGCAGGCGAGCGGGGGTGGCGTCGAGTCCCGGCAGGTGGACCTTGTCAACATCGCGACGACGTGCCCCGCGGCTCGCGCCACGAGCGGGGAGCTCTTCACGCCGCTGTCCAATGTGTTCTGCAAGCAGCTGACGTGGGACCAGTACATCCCGCTCTATGCCGCCCTCATGCGCATTATGGCGAAGACGGGTGCGTTTTGGTTTGACCCATCGATCTACGGGTCCAAAAGGGGCACCGCTGCCACGAACGCCATGGATTCGTCCGACTCCTCCTCGTCGTCCCCAGCGCCGTTCTCTCCCTCCTCATCTTCTTCCTCGGCGCCCGCCGACTCGCTCAGCTGGATGGACGGTCTTCCAGGCATCTGCGAGACAATGTTGTCGTGCATCGTTGACGGGGGTGGAATGCGATGCGTTCGAGTGGCTGGCGGCGAGTTGGATCCGGGAGTACGTCCCGCCGGAGCAGCGCGCGCAGGTTCTGCGCAGCTACCCCAGCCTCGGCGACCCCGACGCGCCAAGCGGCAACCTCCTGCATGACGTGAGTCTTTTGTCGCCGTGGAGTGGGGCGAGCAAAGAAAGCGCTGAGGGCGAAAGCAAAGGAGCAGAGCACACGGGGGGAAAAAGAAATGAAACGAGGGGGAGGAGCTGGGTCGTCGCAGTGGCCGTCTCCGTGTCGGTTGGCGGCGCACTGCTGATTGCTGCGGCTGTCTTCGCGTTCGATCGCTGCTGCTGCTTCAGGCGTGTGGCGCGAAAAGGGGAGGCCCCATTGAACGAGCCATGCTCGGAGTGAGGTAGTAGAGAAGGTGTGCGTGCCGAGGGTCTCTGCCATAGTCACCTACTATCGTCACCATGGTGATGAAGGCGAGGAGAACGCCCTGACACGAACACCCCCTGACAGAATGAGAGACATAAGCCGTCTTTTTTTTTCTCTTTGTTAGTATCAATTGTTTTTCTTTTCGCTTCATTGTGTCTGTCCAACCCGCTGCGCGCTGCATTAAGTGGTGCTTAGCCTGGTGCTTGGTATCGGATACTGTTTTTCTGTCGAGGGGTTTTCTTGTCGGGGTTTGGTCAACTCATAGTATGAATAACGTGGCCCATTTAATCATTGAGGGCCACGCTGAGGGAAGAAGGGACAATCAAGGGTCCGCGGACCGCTGAATATGATATCATCGCGGTCTTTTCTTGTTCTTATGTGTGGGGCGGCTTGGCCTGCGTTGCTCCGAGTCGGAGCGGTTGCTGCAGCCTTTTCTTTGGGTTGCTTTCTCTTTCTTCTTTCTTCCTTGTTCCTGGTGCCTGCACAATGCCGAGGTGAAGAGGCCGCTCTTCCTCTCAGGTGCATGGAGC